CCCCCTTGTCTGTGAATCTGTGAATGACGTCATCGTTATGGTGTGATGGAGCCATGTTGAGCGGATCAATACCAGACATCACATCACCTCCATCCATTTCCACATGTATGTGCAAAGTAACACACACACGCATGCTTTCTCTCCTTTTCCTGCACTACTCCGTTTAGCAGGAAAATGCTCACTCAAAGTCAACAATCCGGTCAGAAACGTGTGTGTTTGTGTGTGTGCGTTTAATGTGCGTTAGTAAACTGGGTGTTCTGGATGATTTCACTAATAGTTTCAGTATGGAGGGCTATAAAGAGCAGACTGTTTAATTGTAGCTGGTTTTAACGAGCCTCTGATTATGGCAACATTCTAACGAGTGTGGGTCGTTAATGTTGACTAATCTACAGTCATTAGTTCAACACTGTCTGGCCTGAGAGTGAACTACAACTCATAGATGTTATTCACACACACACACACGCACATTCAGACACAGTCTCTCTCCAACATGTACAAACACACAAATGCACATACAAAAGCTTATATATGCAAACACACATTTTCACTAACCTACAATGACAAATTAGACAGTTTTCATATTAGAAGAAGAAAAACATATTTTAATTAAGACAATACAGTAAATTGTATGTGTGTGTAACTGTGTTCTTTGAACCTACCTGTGTATATGAACCTCCCTGGTGTGCCTTTGCAGAACTGTTTAGACTTGTAAGACAGAGTGACCTCTACAACCCCAGGGATGTGTCTGGGAGGCGTCTGCACCCGGATGGCATGTGGTGTAATCAGCTAGAAAAGCAAGGAACAGAGTACCAAGAGTCAAATCACCCGAAGAATCAAGAAGAATGAAGTATTAAACATCGGGACACCACAGCACCTTTAGTTCTTAATGTTGTGCAGCTAGGTTTTCTCTATTCATGAAAAATATCTCTACTGATAAAAAAAAAAAAGATGTTTCCTTTAAATCTAGTAATTCAGTCGCAGATTTAAATAAACCTGCATACTGAAGCTTTGCTCTAAACTTTATTTTAGTTGTTGGGTTGGAGATTGATCGCTTGTTAATGATGTGAAATTGATCTCTAGCTGACCTGGTTTTATATTTGAATTTAATGCATTTTTGCATTAGTCTGAATTTGAAGGTGGCATTTGGAGCAAAACCACTGATTCCTTTTTTCATTATTAGCTAAGATTTAAAATGAGTCATAGAGTCGTCATCAGCAAGTGTGAGCACCTCTATAAAAGCAGAGGTTTTGGCAGGTTTACTGGTCCGGAGCGTTCAGGTGTGTGTTAACACAATGCCACAATCTTGCCAGGAGTGGTCTCAGCAAAGTCACCCCAAGGTCAGACCATGCAATGCTTGGGAAATTGTGAAAGTGCGCCCAAGACTCTACAGCCCTCAGTTAGCATGTTAAATGTTGAAGTTCACAACAACATGATCACAAAAACACACAGAAAAAGAAATAAAAAGTGTGGCTTGTTTGCGTCTTTCTAAAAGCCTCTGTCTAAAAGGAACATGGCAACATGGCTTAGGTTTACAAAGTTGCATCTGAACAAACCACAAGACTTCTGGAACAATGTCCCTTAGACCAACAAGACCATAATGGAGATGTTTGGCCATAATGCAGAAATACCAACTGTCAAACACAGTAGTGCAGGGGTGATGACTTGGGCTTTTCTTGCAGCCACAGGACCTGGACACCTTACAATCATTGAGTCGACCACGAACTCCTCTGTATACCAAACGTTCTAGAGCAGCGGTCCCCAATCCCCGGGCCTCAGACCGGTACCGGTCCGTGAGTCGCTTGGTACCGGGCCGCGAGAGTTGAGGCTCAGGTGTGAAATGTATGGTTTTCAGGGTTTTTATCGGTTTTCAGCGTTATTTTGTTATCGTTTTTATCGTTAACTCGGTTTTCCTTGGTCTTTTCACGTGTGTTATGAATAAATCTTCTTTTTTTGCTTATTTTAATTTGTTGTATTTATCCGCGACACCTTAAAGGCCGGTCCGTGAAAATATTGTCGGGCATAAACCGGTCCGTGGCGCAAAAAAGGTTGGGGACCGCTGTTCTAGAGTAAGATGTGGGGACATTCGTCCAACAGCTAAGTTTTGGCCCAGTTGGGTCATGCAACAGAACAATGATGGGGGTGGCAAAATGGTGCATTAGTTAGCACCCTCACTTCACAGCAAGAAAGGCTTGGATTTGAATGCACATGATGTGGCCTTTCCATGTGGAGTTTGCATACTCTGGGTTTTCCCACAGTCCAAAGACATGCATGTTACATAAACGGGTGATTCTAAACCAAGGGTGGGCAATTCCAGGCCTCGAAGGCCGGTGTCCTGCAGGTTTTAGATCTCACCTTGGGTGAACACACCTGAATCACATGATTAGTTTGTTACCAGGCCTCTGGAGCACTTCAGGACATGTTGAGGAGCTAATTTAGCCATTTAAATCAGCTGTGTTGGTTCAAGGACACATCTAAAACCTGCAGGGACACCGGCCCTCGAGGCCTGGAGTTGCCCACCCCTGTTCTAAACCGTCCGTAGCTGTGAATGTGAGTGTGATTTATTGCCTGTCTCTTTGTGTTTAGCTTGTGGTAGACTGGCGAGCTGTCCAAGGTGTAACCCACCTATCGCCCACTGACAGCTGGGATCTGTTCCAGTAGAAGACGATGGACAGAACAACGGTGCTGAAATGGCCCTAGTCAAAGTGCAGACCTCAACTCGGTTCAAATGCTGTGGCGAGACCTTAATGGAGCTGTGACATGAACTAATTGTGGTAAACCTCAATAAATGACGATGACAGAATTGCTCCACAATGATGACAGTATGTTACATGACTTAGTTTGAAATGGACCACAAGTTTAGGGTAAATAAAAAGAAAATAGAAATGAACTAAATCCTGACCTCCCAGCATCTCTGTTTATACCAGGAGGAAGATAAATCATTGTTTTTGAGCCATATTCGAGACACACTTGAACCAGTTATAACATATTTATGGATGATTTTCAAAATATCTGTTAAGGGTTTTGAAAAAGTAGACAGGATGGAGAGATACAGACAAACCCCACTTGACAAACATGTAATGACTTTCCACCGACGGACCTTTTTCAAACTGTGTTTTCTTGCTTCGAAATCAATAATCAGGTTGAGTGCAAATGAAGCATTTGGTTGGCTAAAATCCATTCGAAGGATGGAATGAGGAACGCCAAGAGAGCTGAGTCAGTTTGAACTGAACTGAGACTCTGTACACATGTTAGTGAGTGTAAGTGTGGCTCTCAACACTGTAAACAAACCCCTCAGCTCTTAACACAGACACACAAACACCCATCCATGTTTGCCAGTGTGTGTGTACACACACACACACACACACACACACACACAGAAACACTGTCGCTGTTGTTGTTGGAAACGAGCCACGGTCGCTCGGCACACACGGTGAGTGGAGTCAAAAGACAAATAAACATTCAGTCGAGGAGTGGAGCTGGGGAAAAGTATGATAGTGAGCTGTATGTGTGTGTGTGAGAGAGAGGGAGTGTTTTTGTGAGCATTAAGCTGATGGCTATCAAAATCTGCTGATTTGATCAGTATTCCAGAGAGAAAGAGACAGAGGGAGTGTGGGTGAGGAAGGTAGTGAGGGGCGGTGGTCGCTCGTTGGTGGGGACTCATTAGAGAGCCAAACCTCATTTAGACAAACATTAACACACATACACACACACGTACACACAAACATGCACTTGATCACGCACAGTTAAGAGCCTGACCATGACGAAAAGTGTGTTTTCATATTGAATTACTTCCAAAGCTCCGAAGGCAAAAACACACAGTTGAGGGGTTGAAACAACACTGGGGCAGGACGGCTGGTAAACTGACCTCGCTCCAAACCAGCATGGTACCGAAGATTACTTGGAGACCGTCGAAGAAATTGTCTCCTATGATGATGACAGTAGCACCTCCCGTAGTCCAGCCCTCACTGGGACTAATGGCTTTAATGCAGGGCGCTGCTCCTGGAGCATATAGATGAGAGCATGATTAGATCCATGAGTAAAAGGGTGAAAAAAAAGAATTAGGTACTTTTGGTATTTAACATGCATCTACAATAAACTGCAGCTGAAAAAGACATGAAATATTAACTATATTACTATTGTAAAAAAACACAAATCAGTCTGCAAACTGGAGGGGAAATCTGGCTTGAAGCGTTTTCATCCCTGTTGCATCTGCACCTCATAATTCATCCTGCTGCACCCGCGGATTCTGGCTGTGTTCCAGATCATCACACTTATTCACTGAAAACACTGCAGATTCAAAGACTGAGTCCTTTTTCAATGGGTCCTTGTGCAAAAAAGAAGGGTTTCCCCTTGTAAATAATTCTGCTGAGTAAAATGATAAACACAGGAAACGAGTGCTGAAGTATCAAGTAAAGTCTTTGGGTTCTCTTCACTTCAGTTTCAACCATTATTTATGTTTCTGAGAAGTGTTTGAGTGGGAAAGAATAGACTGTCATAATAATAGAATTTAACCAAAATTTTAAAAGAAATCACTGAAAGCTCTGAACCAACAGCAGTTAGTTTACTATTTACTCCTGGTAAAAAAGAGATTTATTTAAATGACTCGTACAAAAAACCCCAAAAACAGAAGCTCACTTCTTGTTTCACTGTGTAATTTTCCATTATCGTTGATTGAAGGTAGTTTAAAAGCATCATTTGGACGCAATCTGTATTGGTGTGTTTACAGTTTGTTGATCCCAAAGCTTGACTGGCACGAGATTAGGACAGTTCATTTCTGAAACTAATGATCTTACATGGATAAAAGCACACACAGACGGTTTGGTGTGCATCACATGACTTCAAATATAATGGATACAGTCAGCTTATGTCACTTCAATATGACAGAGTATTGTGTGTTTAAGCTCATGTGATCTAATCCTATATCATAACAACAAAAACCCGTCTGTCAAAAACCAGCTCTCATCTCAGTGTAAGTGTTTGTGTGTGATTATCAGTATGCAGCTGAATTACAACAACACCCCTTAGTCTGGGTTTGAGTATGAAAAAAAGCATAATGATATTAGACCGATACACACACACTGACACACACAGAAAGCACCACACCATGCAATGTGTGTGTGTAGTGAGTTGGATTAGCCAGATGGAGGGGCAGGAATCACCTGATAGGATTAAACCATCAACCATCTGGTGGCCATGCTGCTTATGCTCTCAGACACACACACACACACGTGCTTGCATGCGTGCACACACACTCCTTACCGTGTTCTAGGTAAGACGGCGTCCCCTCCACAGGATCGAGCCTGCGGGCCCGTCGACCGTGTTTGGAGTTGTTGTGAACGAACATGTTGTCAGAGACCGACAGGACGTGTCCCTCCACGCTCACTGTCGTTGATACGACCACCTGGAGAGAGGTAAGGGGGTGAGTGGCAGAGAGAGTTGGGTGGACAATTGAGAAAATAAGGTGATTAACGAGGAGAGGATTGGGGAACAAGGTGGAAAAGGTGGACATAAAAAATGGGTAGGGGTGGGAAAGGAGGTAGGCAGGGAGGGAGGGAGGGAGCGGGGAAAGAGAAAGGAAAGAAAAAGAAAAAAGAAAAGAAAAAATGAGGAATTATAAAGTCGGGGGTCGAGGGATCATCGCAGGGAGGAGTTAAAAGCATGAAACTGTGAAAAGCTCTTTAAATGTAACCTGTTATCACTGCTATTACCAGCACCCTCAACACACACTAAGTCACTGTACACTGTGTGTGTGTGTGTGTGTGTCCTCCTCTGTCCAATAGTTCCTGATGGGTCCGGCCCTTAATTATCTCCCAGGGAAACAGAGCTGTCTTTTCTGGTTCCACTACAATAGAGCTGCACAATTAGAGGCACAGATACCGTCACACACTTGGTGCTGGATGACTCTCTCCATCCCATCTCACTCTCACACACACAAGTCTGTACACAAGAGAGCACGCCACACACACACACACACACACACACACACACACTCCCATACTCATGTGCCACGGTAATAAATCTATCAGTATCTCCTGGGCGTCCAGTTTCTCTATTCATGCTCAAGTGGTGTCTTCCTGATTGTGTTGTGGCCTTTAGATAAGGAAATAATACTGAGTGCACTGCCTGAAATCTTATTCACAACCTTCTTTCTTTCTCTCTTGATACAGTGTCACAGGCAATGCATTTGCGTGCTGTGTCTCTGTCACTCGTGGTCCCTCAGGTTTGCAGTATGCCGATGCATACTGGGAATGTTAGACTGATAATAAAAATGGGATTTTTCAGTTGCTTCTTCCATATTCTATTTATACGCCCATTTTTCTCACTGCTTACCCAGCTTATGGTCCTGGGCAGCTGGAGCTATCCCAGCTGACACAGGGTGAGAGGCGGGGGACACTCTGGACCCCCATCTCTGTCCCAGCCTCACCTGTCAGACTGCATAATCTCTTTCTTTTTGGTTGCCATGATTTTTTTTTTAGCATCTTTCTTTTATCATTGCCAATTTGTGGCCTATCTCTCCCTCTCTCTTACACACACACACTGTGCTTGGCTCTCTTACCCTCTCCCCTCTATACCCCTGCATTGTGTGTATATTTATGCTCCAACTACTCAGGGTCAGGATCTCATGTTTCCTGTACAGGCGCTGATAGCTTATTTACTTACACAGAAACACACGCATACACACATTCCTGCGTATATGTGTTGCAGCAGCCATGCATTTGTGTCATTATGTGGTATGTCCACAGGAGACAAAGGGAAGGGCGAGAATGAGAGAAAAAAGACAGCGAGGTATAGAGAGAAGCCTCGACAAAAGAAAATGAGGAACGAATTACGAGAATGAAGAAAATCTTGCGGTTTGTACCTGGAACCTCCTCATGTCTCTCGGGTTTCCTGCATTCTTCAAACAGTTCTGGTTGCACTTGAGGAAAAACTTGAGGAAAAATCTGTGGAGACAAAGAGGATAAGGCCATATTTGAGGTTAACAGCTTGACAATAGACCAGAGTGAAGACTGCTTTCCTCCAGAATGCGAGCTCAGGCCCAGTGCAGACACATCCACATAAACAGAGAGAGAAATTAATATTTCATACTGTGTGAAAGTCAAAATGAATTTCCTTGTGGAATTTGCTTGCAGATGTAAGGAACTTTTTTTGTTCCTAAATCCACAGCAGCTTCTTTGAAAAGTCCACAAAAAGACAGCGGATGAGCACATGAGAAGGGAAGTTTTATAGTATTGTAGCAAAACTGCAGAAACTACGTGACTGTGAGGAAATCATAAGTTTGACCTTAAGTTTTACACTTTTTGTGAATTTCGGCTCTCAAAATTCTAGCTACAGCCTTCCTGCTGTTTCTGTCTTTCCATAAGTCACGAAAAAGCACAAATCCAGTTAGTGTTAAAGATAATAAGCAACTGTATATTTCTGCAAAACTTAAGATTCAGGATCTACTTTCTTAACATTAACCCTGATGTCAAGCCATTAAAAAGTGGAGCTATGTTGACATTAGGTGTTTGAAATGGGACCATATGTCATGAATCTATATTACAGAATAAATCAAACACACAGATGGCCATCAACGGCAAACAAACACATCCAGGTTGTGTTTTGTTGTGAGCCAGCTGGCCAGCCTGGCAGAAGCAACAAGGCACACTTGCACAGAAAAACACAAACACCCACACATGTTCATGTTTGCATGTGTATTTGTGTTACATCTGTGCTCCTCACAGCTCAACAGAAGCAATACCCCATCACACAGCCTCAAACACAAAGAAGACCGCCACTTCCCTTCCTCTGCACTCATGCAAAACCTTTTACTTTGCAAATATATTTTGTGTTAATAAACAGCAGATGATTGTCTTCAGTTTCACTTTAATCCGGGAGGAATTTCTTTACAGAAACAAAGAAATGAGATCAAACAGCGTTACTAGCCTAGGATGAAAACCTAAAGCACCACATGAAAATTGTAACACAATCCAATACAATATTTTTTACATTAACCATATTTGCCATTTCAAAGGTCTACAGGACTATTTACACAAACTACAGCCCTCCAACACAAGATATTTAAAGATAAGATTGAAAAAGACACCTCTATATCTCACAAAATTATTGAATATAATACTATACTATCCTATACTATAACTCCATTATAACATTAAGATTGCAGAGCTATTGCATTATGTTAGATTTCATGAAAATATGTCTGTATTATCTCCATTCCCTGGTGGCTGAGCCCGAAGCTCTGCTGTTCAAGAGGTGACAGCCCTTGAATTGGACCACCAGAACAAAGCAGAGGCATGAGCGGGCGCGTGTGTGTGCGCGCAAACATGTAGTCCACATGCGAGTGTGTGTGTGTGTGTGTGTGTGTGTGTGTGTGACGGTGCAGCACAGCCTAGTGGCAGGTCTGAGTGTAGAACTCTGCATTAACGAGCTCAAACTTCATTAGAACACTGGCGCTGGGATTCTGCATACCTAATTATCTTGACCCTTAACCTCCGGGTGACAGCCTATCACAGCGGAGGACAGCCACGGTGACCCCTGCTGACCTCCCACTGTCTAGTCCTTCTCACAACACTAGCATAGCGTTAACATGAGCGCCTCAGCTGACCCTGTGCTGTAGATCTCTGTGCAAAGGAGGCGACTGGGAGGCTTACACACTTCCCCGCTCATCTGTCTGATATACTAAAAAAAAAAAAAAAACGCAATAATTTACAAGTAAAAGACTTAAATTTCAAAGACTGAAAATAATATGGATTCAAACAAAAAACAAACCCAATGGGAAAGAGAAAAAAATTCATCTTTATAGTGTAAAACTATAAGCATTTTATTAATGTAACTCTTGCAAATGATGCTGTAATTGAAACGTCTGCTTCTGGAAACGGTAATTTAAACATAATTTGCTTCTACAATGTTGTATAACATGCATATAAGATAAAAAGTATAATAAAGGACAAAATATTAAAATAAAGACTGTGGAGTTGTTCAAAAGCACTGATCTGATGGAAGAGTATATAACGCAGATCTTACCAAGAATATCATCTCTACACATCTAGTTTTAATGCTGTCTTGGTTTTTGGTCAACACAAATATATAAGTGATATGAATTATTTATAAGTTTTTAAGAGTTTCAGACAATAGAAAAGCAGATACAATGAATTCGGGAGACACAACACAAGGTTGGATTCTCATAATCAAATGCATGTGTCTTACTCTGATAGTTAAAACAAACTGAATGGATTTTACATGCACTGTCACTGTGGTCTCATCTATAACCATAACCACAAACAACATTGTTTAAATTGCTTTAAATGTAAAAATAAACCTTGCTTTGACCTCAATGTTATCTCTGTGTAAAGTTTAGACACCATGAGTGATTTTCCCACTGCTGGTGTGAAGGGTATTACACTTTGCTACACGTATGCATCCAAGCTGGCAGTGAACTTTACAGTTCTGACTATGTGTCCCATCTCAATCAATGCATTTCCGTGCTCCATGTTTGACTTCCTCTTTTCTTTTTCTCGCTCTTGTCATAATCTCTCATTCAAGCTGGCATTAGTCGAGAATAAATAACAAGGCAGGGTCTGTCGAATTAAGTTGATTTTATATATTAAATAAATTTATCGCGGACCTTACAGCCTTCTTTCGTAAGCGTATGTTTTTTTCCTTAATGAATAAAACATAAGCAGGCTGTTGGGAACGATCAGAAGACTTCCAAGTATGAATATGGAACCATTTTATAAATGAGCCCTAGAAGTTCACTGAGGAAGGTGTGTATTCCTGGGGGTTTGGGCTTCTAGTCTACTCTTTCACTTTCCCACAGTGTCTAGCTCAATTCTGTCATCATTACTCAAGTTCAGTCATCTTCTTACCCAGCCTCTGTGAGCCAATCAGGCTGTTTCATATACTCTCCTGTCATTCTGCCTTTTAGACTCTTGCATCCTGCCTCCTCCATCTCCACCTCACACTGGTCGGTGAGAGAGCTGCCATCACCAGCAACTAGTCTCCACAGTGTCCTAGCATACCTCCTATCATCCTGCCATTGCTGAGACTCTGCTATGTTATATGTCCCAGTTCATTAAATCGTTAGTAAACTGGGACTTAGCTGACTTTTGCAGCTGACTTTTACAACAAGCCGTTGGCGCACTTGTATGTTGCATCGATAAAATGGAAGGCAGAAATAAAACCTCAGTAAGGCACTCCTCTACAGTGCAACAGGACTCCTTTAGGTGCTCTGAGTAAATGAACTTCTTTATTTCTATTTCTGCTCTGCAGCTACTGTAACAATATTTCTGCTGCAGGCTCTTCTTGCAGCTTTCTCTGTTGCTGCTCTACTGAGAAAGATAGGAACGGTTTAAACATCACCTTAATAATCACCACATCAGTATTACAGCAATAATTCCCCCCTCTCAGTGCATTCCTTCTATCACTGGCTCAGCTTATTGGTGATCTCATTATTTTTCATATTTCCATCTTCCACTCGACTCTGTCCTTTTCCGGTGTGAGTGTTTTCTCTCATTGACTGTCAAAAGTACATATTCTACATTTTAATGCAGTATGGGAGCGATCCTCTCTCCCCTTCACTTGACCCCATCTGGCCTAATCAACTGTGCTACAAAGAGACCCTGCAGCAACACGCACACACACACACACACGCACGCACAGAGACACCTTGTGTGAATTGATTGGCTGGTCCAGTCGCTGGTCGTTAAGAGGCCTCCAATTAAAATGGGCAATTATAAGGGTCTGAGTGATTGTGGGGGAGGGGAGAGCGCTCCCCTTCCCTCCTCTACTGCTCTCCCTCTTTGAGGCCCGATCATGTTCAAGTGATAACGGCGCTGTTGACCTTTGCTGCTATATTGTGAGTACCACACTCACAAAGTTGACCTGACACCAGTCCTGCCTGCTACACACACACACACACACACACACACACACACACACACACACACACACACACACACACACACAC